AACACTTTGTTCGCATCGAAACATGCAAACAGTGCGGCTGTGGTTCAGTGGGTACAGCCCTCTCAACTGGAAGGTCGAGGGTTCGATCCCCAGATGTGCAACATGTCTGATGTGTTAACCCCACATTGCCCCTCTGCTTCGGTGGCGGTGTATGAATGGAGTAGTGATGTAGAGTCTGCTAAGTGAATTGTAAAATGCAGAAATGTACACGGAGGCTGGCAGTAAAGGTCCCGGTGACGGCGGGTCGCAGAGTGTCTCCGTTTGCGTTCACACATGAAGCTCACCCTGAAAAAAGGCGGGAACGTTTCAGGAGTTTTGTGTTTGTGTGAAAACACCACAACAGTCTCTTTGTCCACCTTCGCCTGGGGGGAGTTTACAAGCCCCTGATCCTCTATTGGAGGCAGTACCAGAGGCATAAAGGGGGGGGGTATTTTCACACCTCACCTGTTCGGTTAAATCAAACTCAAGTCTGTTTCCCAAGTTAGTGCGGTTTGTTTGTGCTGGTGTGAAAGCTGGTGTGGACCAAAGACCGGTACAGAGACCGGTACAGAGACCAGTACAGAGACCGCTTGAAAAAGAGGGTCTCTGTCCGCTTTGTTTCAGACTCCGTCTTCTTGACCTGACTGCAGGACGTAACCATGGTGGGCCCTCTCTGTTCATCATCCCTGAACATTAAAGACCAGAGGAGCAGGTCCTGGTTCAGGAGGACTAATGTGGTCCTGGTTCAGGAGGGTTAACGTGGTCCTGGTTCAGGAGGGTTAACGTGGTCCTGGTTCAGGAGGGTTAACGTGGTCCTGGTTCAGGAGGACTAACGTGGTCCTGGTTCAGGAGAGTTAACGTGGTCCTGGTTCAGGAGGACTAACGTGGTCCTGGTTCAGGAGGACTAACGTGGTCCTGGTTCAGGAGGGTTAACGTGGTCCTGGTTCAGGAGGGTTAACGTGGTCCTGGTTCAGGAGGACTAACGTGGTCCTGGTTCAGGAGGGTTAACGTGGTCCTGGTTCAGGAGAGTTAACGTGGTCCTGGTTCAGGAGGGTTAACGTGGTCCTGGTTCAGGAGGGTTAACGTGGTCCTGGTTCAGGAGAGTTAAAGTGGTCCTGGTTCAGGAGAGTTAACGTGGTCCTGGTTCAGGAGGACTAACGTGGTCCTGGTTCAGGTTGATTAACGTGGTCCTGGTTCAGGAGGACTAACGTGGTCCTGGTTCAGGAGGGTTAACGTGGTCCTGGTTCTCAGAGACTCCAGAACATATTATTTCCAAACCGTCTCGTTGTCTTTCAGCGACATCAGTCCGTGAAGTCGTCTGACCATTCAGAGACTCTAAAGCGTCTTTAGAGCAGCCACAGCCAATCAGGAGGCAGCGAGTCTTTGTTACTTCAGGGAGTCCCACTAGAAATTCTGGCCAATCAGAGAACATTGTCCTCGTACATCACACTTTCTAGTCCGCTTGTAAACGCCCCCGTGTGAACACAGAACAAACTCGAGGTCATTATGTAACAAAGTGGTCCATGATTCAGACCAAAGCAAACGATCTACAGGTGTGTGATGTATCAAAGGGGCGTAAAGATGGCTGCTGTTGGGGAACCTCAGTCTGCTTTATTGGGTGTCTTTGACTTCTGCTTTTGTTGCCGTGGTAACAGGTGTTTATATCGATTGCTTGTTCCAGGATCAGATCAAGTTATAAAATCTGTTCAGTAATTCTGGATGTCATAAATTCACGGGAAGGAAACTGTCATGACCTTTGTTTTCTTTGTTCACAGAGCGAAACGCGTCGACCAATCTCGTCTAGCAGCTCGCCAGCCTCCTCTGTGAGCGTGTGTGTGTCTGTCTGTGTAAGTGTGTGTGTGAGGTCATGTCAGGCATGACCAGCGGCGTGTGTGTGGAGAGCGACCTCTCCTCGATGCTCCAGAGAAGCTCCGCCTCCTCCCACCATCACCCAAATCACCACGGTTACAGCGGACAGGGACAGGTGAGCCCGTCTGTGTTTGACTTTTTAATATTAGAAACAAAGTTGATGTTATTATTACGACGATCACTCAGGTATCAACCACTCAGGTATCAATCACTCAGGTATCAACCACTCAGGTATCAATCACTCAGGTATCAATCACTCAGGTATCAATCACTCAGGTATCAACCACTCAGGTATCAATCACTCAGGTATCAACCACTTAGGTGTCAATCACTCAGGTATCAACCACTCAGGTATCAACCACTCAGGTATCAATCACTCAGGTATCAATCACTCAGCTATCGACCACTCAGGTATCAATCACTCAGGTATCAACCACTTAGGTGTCAATCACTCAGGTATCAATCACTCAGGTATCGACCACTCAGGTATCAATCACTCAGGTATCAATCACTCAGGTATCAATCACTCAGGTATCAACCACTCAGGTATCAATCACTCAGGTATCAATCACTCAGGTGTTGATCACTCAGGTATCAATCACTCAGGTATCAATCACTCAGGTATCACTCACTCAGGTGTTGATCTCTCAGG